CCCACAAGATATATGTAGGTAGCTGAAGGAACATAGCAAGGAAACAGCACGTATTCATACTGATTGCTAACAGTGTACAAGATACATTTTTTAAAGAATTATTATTCCCCTTGGTGTGAAATAGAAGTTATTTTATACAGAATATGTGTGGAAGGAGGACTTATTATTCCGTATCTGTTCCACTCATGAGCCATAAGCCATCTCACGGAACAAATTTCTAGCTTGAAACGGAAAAGCTTTTTAAAATTGTTCCCTCTGTTCATGCTGCAGAACGCATATCTTGATTCACCAGAGCCAAGCATACCTCATCTCATAACAAAAAGCAGAAAGGTAATTTCGGAGTCCGAATCGATTCTGGTATGGCAGGCAGAACTTTCATGCTGTATTTTGTCACCTACATACTCAAAATGCAAACAAAAGGATGTGGGGTGGGGTGTGTGAGAGGAATTATTTCCTTTCCAACACAAACAGTATTAATATCTTACGTTTTTTTTTTAAAAAAAAAAACCCTTCCACAGTGACTCACAATGCAAATCATTTGCATCTTGTGGATTTTAGGACTAAACTATTAAGTGGAGCATTTGCCTTTCCTTTGTTAAAGTTAAATTCTTTTTTAAAACCCCAAAGGTCAAAGCATGCCCACACTTCAAAGGAACTTTACACAGCATGTACCAATTAAACAAAAAACTTTGCAAGGATTTAATGGAACATTTTAAAAAAATTAACTTTCTCCCCAAAAAATGTACAAATATGAAAATCTATATAATATTATAGTAATGCTTATAGCAGCAAAAATTGTTTTTATATATGCTCAGAGGTAGGTTCAAAGGGGCTTGCTGCCACATCAGCAGGTATAGGGCTATAGCCCCTATTAACTTTTACAATGCAAGCCTTTGCATATGTCCTCAGAAGTAGGTCTCATAATGGGACATATTAGTTCTCTCAGACACATATTACTGTTAGAAACTTCAGCTGTAATCAATTAATTTTGGCACAGTGATCCTAAGCACGTACATGAAAGCAACATTCTTCAAAACAAATTTCATTTAATTTCATCTTTAGGATTCCAAATATTTACTGATGACAGCTCTTTTTTATGTTTTCATTGGAACTTTTACAAACCTTGTTTTTCTTATGCCACATATCCAAGTTTGAACAAACAAGAAGGTGAAGGAAAAAATGGAGACATGTGATAGTAATTTTTGTGGATGCTATACTATTTCTCATGCTACACTAAAATAAAAATCAAGATGAAATCAGCACTTTTAAAGTAACACACAGATTGTGATCCTTCAAAAATATTTTATAGCATAATTTACAGTTCAACCTGATATATCTCTGACTAGAAATTCAGACAGATGTCACCCTTATGAAAAATAAAAGATGGGAGGGAGTCTTCAGAATGGATAGCTAGCATCTCGTGGATAAAGAGAAACTAAAAATGTACTATTTAACCTGCTAGCTTTTCGTATATTGGAGAATTACTGACACTACTCATGGACAACATTCAGCCTACTGATCTTTCACTATTTCCTGAATTTCTAGAAAAACTGTAAGAGTTACTTCTCTCGCTTGTTTATAGCTATAACGAGGAACACTGGAAGCTGCTTTATGTAGGGTCAGACCAAGGGCCCATCCAGCCCAGTGCCTTTAAGACTGACAGTATAGGGATTTAAGCTGAATTTCTTTCTATATTCCACTCCCTTGCTTCACTTCCAAAACCAGATCTGTGTGTGCAGGGTGATAGGGTGGTACAGCACCATGTATATTATTAAACAGGAGTAGACACAATAGGTTAGATGCTGCATGGTAGTGAGTGGCCTGTGAACATCCCACACAGCATCTTTGTTGAAGACAAGCAAGTGGTGATCCGTGAGGCCATAGCAAAATGGACGTAAAAGTCAAATCAATATTTCAAAAACTATATAAATGACATATGTAGCTGATCTATATTTACTGTACTTGCACATCACTCTAAACCATAGTTCAGCATGACATACATGAGCAGGAAGTGTGCTGCAGGCTTGCATGCTAGCAGAAGAACCTTCCCTTGCTTTCAACCTTCCCTTCTCCTAACCACTGTTCTATTATGTCATCGAGAGCAACAAAATAATATTAAGCATAATTAGTTTAAAACAAGCCATGGTCAAACTGTGGTTTCCAAAAATGGCTTGCTTAAGCTATCTATGGTTACACTAACATTCCCTGTTCAGAAAATAGTCGCAAACACTTGAAATTGTACTGAACCCTTTAAAACCATTCTATCTGGCTTGGCCTGGTTCTCAAATCAAGACCCCACTGTAAAACCATTCTATCTGGCTTGACCCAGCCTGGCTGCTTGAACAATCAAACCCACGAAATAACACACTCAGTATCATCTTGTACCTGCCTCGCCACCCTCCTGCCTCCCCTGCCATACTTGCTATGCTTTCTTTTGCCAGTCTAACAACTGATCTCTAGCCTGCCCAAGCTTAGATCGCCTACTTCTTGTATCAAAATGTGAAGCTCTTGAAGTGAAGCGAATATATTGGTCAGACACCCACTCAAGCATATACAAAGTTGCTCAGCTGCTAAGACAATCACAAGAAGCCAAACAATCAAACAAAGATAACCCTCCACCTCAAAAAATCAAGTTTTTTTTTTCTTTTTTAGAGTGGCATAACCAACAAATTGAATTCTTTTATTGATAGAAGCATTTCTTTAAAAAAAAGGCTTCTTCCTTAGAACAGAAATCAGTGAAATAGGAAGTTATTTATTATACTGCAAGCTGCCATACCTTTACAAGGGTTAACATGGGAAGTAAAATTTTGAGAGAATCCCAAAAACATGGCAGATTGTAATAATAATTAGAATATGTGTCAAATCAGTTCTGACCTCATGGGAACCCTTGCCAGGGATTCCTACATACACAGTTCTCTGAAGTGGTTTCACTTTCTTTTCTCTCTCTGTGTGTGTGCATGTGTGTGCATATGCATGTGTGCCTGAGTATGTGTGTTTGTAAGAGAGAGATGTGGGACTGTGCAGCTTTCTCAAGACTGCACAGGCTGGTTTTTCCTCCAAGAAGCACAATAAGGAATCCATCTCCCAAAGCTGACCTCTGCAGCCAGTGCAACAATTTATGGAATGATATACAGTAGCTGGTGATATCAATCTACAACTCCTCTAATCTAAAATACTATATATGTATTTATGTTTTATGTTATATATTCACCCTCACTGCTGATTGGTAATGTCAGTACCAATATCCACCTTTTAAATAAGCACTTGAAATGTTGTGTTGCTGGTAAGCAATGGGGAAATGTGTTTTTACTGTATACTGTATATTTGAACACATACTTATGGTGCCCATGATCCAAATTACTCAAAACTCACTGCTGTATATAATTCAGGATTTTCTCTTATTAGCTGTCAAGTTCATATCAAAATTCATATGGACTACTTTTTTCTCTTCTTTTGAAAGAATTAATCCTTTGTACATAGCAAGAACTTCTGAAAATAATATAATAAAAATTATTGGTATGAGAACAGCGCCACATAAGCTGTAATGAAACAGAGGCCGTTTATAACTAGATTGTGCAATTTCCAAAGCCAGACACAGATTCCAGTCACTGCAGTGCAAATATCTTTATTTAGTTTAGTATCTTTCTGGGGAACAAACATGATGGGCAATGGCTGTAGTTGCCCAGGAGGTCCACTCTTCAAAGACCCTCTCTCTCACCATCTCACTAGGCAGCCTTTGCCAAGTACCCAATGTCCACCTTTCCCGCATAATATAGAAACACTGTCCTACCTTATATGGCTGTTGTAGAGACTGCTGAGAAAGTATCTAGGAAATACAGTACACTGAATCCTTCAGATAACAATATGATTTCATGAAAGCCAGTCGTAGAGAGTATATGGAATTAAACCTCAGATCCAGAATTTAATTCCAGATATGGAATTAAACCTCAGATGATTTTTACAACAGCATTCCTGAAGCATATTTCAGTCTCCTTGTGTTATTTGTGTGTTTGTTGTAATTTTAAAATGGTGATCATAGTGATGTGCAAAAGAATTCTAAATTCTATTTAAACCTCAAGGTGTATCCTGGCCACCATAGATGTTTGAAATTCAGACATTCAGAAAAGCCAAAAATAAATAAATAAATAAATATTTTTTTTAAAAAAAAGCAGTTAAAGGTCTACACTTAAAGTATGGAGCATATTGACACATATTTAGCTACTTTGGAATAGGTTCATAGCCATACAATAAAAATTAGGATACAGATGGGCCAAAACAGCTTTCTGAAGATGAAAAATATGATAAGCTACAGACTCCTAAAATTTAAGAATATTCCCTGGACAGTGTTATGTATTACCAATTGTACAGCACTGATTTGTGGATCCTAACCTAGGCTGCTATTAAAGAGGCGGCATTTTAAATATCAGTTTATCAGAAGTTGCTAAATAAAAATTGAACCGAGAGAGTGACCAATAAGGTGGCATTAAATGCAGAAAGCTAGACTGTTTCAGTCAGTCATGAGAAGCAAAAACAAAAACCCAAACCCCCAAAACAGATTGTTGCAGCTGATCATTCAAGATAAGATCAATAGGGAAAGAAGTGCAGAAGGGAGAGGAATGCCATTTTAAAATTTGCTATTTAATTTAAAAAGCCTTGGGAGACTCTCTCTCTCTCTCTCTCTCTCTCTCTCTGTGTGTGTGTGTGTGTGTGTGTGTGTGAGAGAGAGAGAGAGAGAGAGAGAGAGAGAGAGAGAGAGAGAGAGAGAGAGAGAGAGAACCAAGGTGGATTATATCCGGCTTTCTCAAGATAAGTACACCTAAGTCTAGCCCTCCTGGAGTGGGGGATTTCTCAGGCCAGACCCCCTAGACCGGGATGAGCGGCGCCCACCTGGGAAATAACGTGAGGGCGCCCCCCAACGCTCACTGTGGGAAGAGGCGGCGAGAGTGACCGGGCGGCTGCTTATCTGTGTCACTGTGTCAGGCGCCGCCTGCGTGGCTTACCTGAGGTGCCTGTGCGGAGGAAGGTGGGCGCGTGTGGCTAGGAAGCGCCAGATGCTGCCGCTGCCGCTACTGCTGCTGCTGCTGCTGTCCGCGCTGGCGACCTGTGCGCGGGGGCTTCTGCCGCCGCCGCCGCCGCCGCCTTCAACCCCAGCGCCAGCGCCGCTCTCAAGCTTGACTCGGGCGCTTTGCCCGGGGCTGTTGTTGCTCTCCCACTCGCCCCACAGGCCGGCTACACTCTCCCCCGCGCGCGCCGAGGCGTCGTGGAAACCGGGCTCTGAGGCGGCGTCTCCTCCACCGAGGCTGCGGGAGCTGTTGCTGTGGCTCCTCCGCCGACCGTCTCTCATGGTGCGAGGAGA